GCTTGCGTATAGGTTGGTACACCCATGTTGTGCAATTCCTGCAGAGATCAGAAGAGGGAATCGGATCCCCTGAAACTGGAATTATGGACAGCTGTTAGCAGTTAGTTCTCTTAACTGCTGAGCCATCTCGCCATCCTCCTTTTTTTTTTTATTTTTTTTTTTTTTTTTTTTTGATGACCTTGACATTTTGAGGTGTGCTGGTCAGGCCTTCTGAATGCTCCTTGGACGACTGGCTTGGTGTTTCTCAGAATTAGAACAGTGACGAGCAGAATTACAGCCACCATTTCATTACATCATATCCTGGGTACATCTTGTCATATGACTCCTTCCATGTTGACCTTGGTTGTGTGGTTAAAGGCCTCTTTCCTTTCCATAATGTTCTCTCTCTCTCTCTCTCTCTCTCTCTCTTTCTCTCTCTTTAGACAGAGTCTCATGTAATCCAGGCTGGCCTCAAACTTGCTTTGTACTCAAGGATGATCTTGAACCCCTGGTCCCCCTGCCTGCACCTCTAAGTTCTGGGATTACAGGTGTATACCATGACACCAAGTTTCTGGGTGCTGGGGATGGGACTTGGGGCTTTGGTCATATTAAGCAAGCATTCTACCAACTGAGCCACATCCCAGGCCCCTGTACTACATTCTTTGGCAGAAAGTCACTGTGCCTAGGCCACATCTGGGGAACAAGGAGCTAAGTTCCTCCCCCTCCAGGGCAGAACAGCTGTATAGGTTTGGAATTCTGTACAGGGGCGTTACATCTCCCTATGGATTTATTTGTTCTGTATGTTAGCATTGACAAGGGTCTTTCTTTTATACTTGGGGTTACACAGTGCTACCTACTTACTGCAAGTTGCTTCCACTGGGGCAGCTGGGAGCTCTTTGTGTCAGCTCGGGTGTCTGTTGGACGGCCATCATCCTGGGCTCTGCTGGTTTTATTACTCCCTTACTTTCTGGCACCGATGATGCTCCCAGCTCATCTTGTTTGAGTTCTGCTTAACTCCAGAAGCAGCCCTACCTTCATGCACCCTGGGTCTTTCTCTGAGATATTGGTATTAGAAATCAAGATGGGGTAATGGGGGTGTTCGTGGCTGCTGGGGTGGGGGGGTGTCTTTGCTTCTAGGCTCTCTTGAATTAACAGAGCAAGGGAACAAATGTGCATTCTTAGCAGTGTGTTGCTCATGTCTGTACACATTTGTGCACACACCCAGCTGAATCCAGAGTGGCTAGAAACAAGTTCATGTGCCTATCTCCAATTCTATTTTCTTTTGGTCTTTTTTGAGACAGCGTCTCCCTGTCACCCCAGCTGTCCTGGAACTCACTATGTAGACCAGGCTGGCCTTGAACTCACAGAGAACCGCCTGCTTGAGTGCTGGGATTAAGGGCGTGTACTACCACGCCCAGCTCTATTTGTTTTTATTTTAATTTGTGTATGAGTGTATTGCCTGCATGTACGTAAGTACACTACATGTGTGCAATGCCTGAGGAGGTCAGAAGAGAGGGTGTTGAATCCCCTGGAACTGGAGTTGTAGATGGTTGTTAGCCACCATGTGGGTGCTAGGATTCAAACCCTGGTCCCCTATAAGAAAAAGCAGTGCTCTTAACTGCTGAGCATCCCCCCCCCCCTTTAAAAATATTTTATTATCTCCAATTCTTTAAAAAATTAATTTTTTTCCCAATTGTGTTTGTGTGTGTGTGTGTGTGTGTGTGTGTGTGTGTGTGTGTGTGTGTGTTCAGAGGACATCTTCTGCCCTTCCTCTCATTCAGGAAGTGACATAGGTGTTCACACCCCTGGTGGGACTTGGTAAGCTGTGCAGGGCTGCCTCAGGGTGGGCCAGGAATTTGGAAGCATTGCCTTTCCCGGTTTCCTGGTTTCAGTGCAGTTGGACTTCCTGTTCTGCTGGCTTCAGCACTGTTCAGGTGTGGGAGCTTGGCTTTGCTGGGAATCCACAAGGGGAGGCTGCTATGCTTCCCACAACTTTCCTGTAGACACCCTTGGGTGTCTGTCCTTGGGGGGGAGGGAGAGGGTGTCTGCTGTGGCTGCTTCTATTTCTAAGACATCTCAAAAAAAAAGATTTTCTTTTGGATTTATTTATTTTTTATATGTGTGAGTGTTTTACCTGCATGGGTGTAAGTGTACCTTTGTGTGCCATGCCCACAGAGGCTAGAAGAGGGCGTCAAATCCCCTGGAACTGGA